ACAGTTGAACAAAAGGTTGGGCCACCTCATGCACCCTCGTTGTGAATAATTAGCTCTCCCACACTTTGGGTTCGAACTCGTACCAGCTGACACTCGCAGTCGATCATATCCCTAAACTGGATCAACCAATCTATACCCACAATAACCATCATCTCTCCCAAAGGAATGGTAACGAGATCAATCGGAAACCTCACACTAAACATATCCAAAATATAATTGCAGAAAATCCTCGAGGCTCTCACAAAACGGACATCGACAATCTCTACTGCCAAAGGGTGATCCAGCGCTACCAGTGTGACATCGAAGTTCTTGTTAAACACAATAGATAAAAAGAATGATTGGACCTGAAATCAAACAGTAAAAGAGCATGCATACCATTGACTAGGAACATCCCTAATCACATCATAACAAACAATAAGCATAAATAAGGAAAGAAACAAAATAAAATAGAAGGTACATACCAATAACCACATCTAGCGTTGCTCTAGCCTCCTCCGTCGTCAGCTGAAAAGCTCGACTCCTCACCACATGAGCTTCAAGGTGGCTGGAGCGGGTGCATTCGCCACGCCACCAGCTAAAACCGAACAATCGGCCTTCTTGTGGCCAACCTAGTTGCAGTAGAAACAAATCAGTGCCCCCTGCTTGCAGTCTTTGCTAAATGACATGGCTACGTCGCGGTGGGTCTCCATCAACATGCGTGGCCAGTTACACTCCCCAAAATCCAACACCTAGAATAAATAGACTTCAAAAGAATAATACCTGAAAACGAATGTTACATCATCAGGACCCATTTCTAAGGTAATTATATTCTTGGATTATGGGCAACTGCTTAAGACATATGCGATTTCATCAGAAAAATCGATTTCATCCTGGATAATTTCTTCAGACACGTGACTTCATCATTGGGTTGTTCTTGTCGTTATTCAAGTGATAGTTTTTGGCTAGCTATAATTATATTATTTAGAAAGTTCCTGATAGTTAACTAGTTTCATATGGCTTGTTGGATTTTGGTTTGTTTTGGTGTTAGTTTATTGTTTAAATTTGGTTGCTATAAATTTCGTAAACGTTCTACAGCTTCTGTCTTTCTAAATCAGACATATGTGATTTCATATACATATACTAATTTCCATAAAGTACAACAAAACCTAATTTTTGATTATTGGTATTCATCATTGCATATTGCTTCATAAATGTGACAACCCGAACCATTTTCAGTCAACGAAAGTCAAATTCGTTAAATAAAAATTTCGAATTTTATTTATTTTGTTAAACTTGTAAGGGTTGAGAACAACTTAGAGTATATGAACCTAATATATATATGTGTCGGGACTAAAATCAAGTTTTTCATCAAAAATCAGCTAAGTCTAGTGCATTCCGGAGTTTACGGCCGCAAACTGTTCACGACCGTAAACCGTTCACGATCGGGTGGACCCCACCACCGACCATGAACCCAGCCTATATATATGTGTTCCTACCCTCATTTATACTTTTATGGCCAAAAACCTAATTTCTCTCTCTAAAACCATCAACCGAAAACTCAAGTTTTCTCTTCATCTATCACCCAATTCACCTTGAAACTCGTTTTGGAGCATCAAACATTCATCCTTTCATCAAATCAAACATTCCTTGTTCTTGAGTTCACGGCCGTAAACCATTCAAAGACCGTAAACCCTTCAAGGGTAGGAAACCGTTCACGGCCGAGAACAGTTCACGGCCGAAAACCCTTCACGGCCGCAATCAGCCCTACATCATGAATCTTGGCTGCAAACCTACTTTTCCTCCTCGATCGAGTCTCGGTAACATTCCTTAACCAAAAACAAGTGTTTTTCTAGCACTTTAACTAATGGATTCGCTAATTTAAATACAAATATGTGTTTAATTATTATTAGGATTCCGTTAACTTTGCGTACAACAACTCGAGGGTCCTCATTTCCAGTCTCGTTGTCCGGCACATACACGCATCCAGCTGTGAGTTCATACCCCTACACCTTTACTGTTTTTAACGTTTTTAGGGGGAGGATACAAACAAAACACAAATAAATTTTGTGATTTATATAAAGGATTTAAACAGGATTAAAACTTATGCGATTGATTCAAACAAAAGATTATTACATTTTATAAAACACTTAGATATTTTATCCCTTTTGTAAAATGTTGAGCATAAGGGAAAGTTTTCAACATAATTGTAGAGTTTTCAGTGTAAAACACGAATTTGAATACATTAACAAACATATAAACTATAATAGGTATAGTTTATGGAACAATTATCCTATCAATGCACGAAACATAGATTCAATGCGAGCAAACATATAAACTATATAGAGTAAAGTTTATGGGTCATACAAACAGTCCTGTAAATTTAAAGGATTCATTTTATTCTACGCTTAATCGTTAGGATAGTATTTTATGAGTGAGCATTTGCGCGTACTTACCTAAGTACTAACAAAAGTCCTGAGATTATAACCAGAGTCTCCTAGAGGGAGAACTTGAGTTTGTGTATAGATCTATACGGGACCGACAATCCCGCACCATAACTGTTAGCTACAGTTAGGCCGGTAGGCCTGGGTGACAAAGTCATTTCGATTCTGACACCTGAAGAACGTCGTTCAGGCAATTCAATGGTCAAGTATGGTTATAACAACTCATAAATTTGGTACTAAATAATACGATTAATGTATGAATGGTAACAACTTCAACTAGTTTTATTTTAAAGTAATAGAACTACTATACAAACTGGAGGATTCCAGGGTTTTCAAACAGAACAATGCTTAAACAACATAAGTATGGAAAATACTTGTACTTTTCAGTTTTGGAACAGTTAAGACAACAATTCACACTTAGGGAAAATATAAGATTTTCCAGGACAAACATCAGTACTTTACAAACAATCGGTTTATCATTTAACTAACGAACATTCATTATCAACTCTATAATTCCTTAATTTATGCATCTAGGCTATGCATGAAGAATATCCGATAGACCGTGGAATGTGTGGTTTCCGCCTCATTTCCTGTTTCTTGTTTGGTTGTGGGCTTAGGGCAGATCCACACAATCAACTGTCTGTTCGATATTGGTTTATACATAGCTAGTATGAACTAAGAGGTCATAGAAGGAACTGGTATTATCATATTTTTACTAAGAAAATATTGGATTTTCTTGAGAACATGTAAACATTTTAACAGATTCACAGTCAGGTTTTCATTTCAAAAACATATTTATGAACTCACCAGCTTTCATGCTGATACTCTTTCAAAACCGCTTGTATTCTCAGGAAATCAGTAGACAGGTACTCCCGCAGACTTTTGAGAAGATGGAGCTTATAGTGTCTCGTCTTTTATACTTTTGTTATATTTAAGCTGTATACAAACTATGTATCAAACAGATGTAAATATTTTACTTATTCAATGTAATGGTCGTGTTTACTTTGATTACTATGATGCAATTGTTGTGATACTGTACATGACGTCCTCCACCCCCGAACGTTTCCGCCGTTCCAGTTTGGGGGTATGACAATAAAGTTTGATGATTATCGAATAAATTATTCATGATTGCCTATTTATTAAGAAAGTTTGCTGATTTTCAAAGATTATTGAAACCTTGTTTTGTTAGATGGAAGATACTTTAGATATTGTCATAGGATGACACCTTGAGAACATGGTAGAGTCTCCAATAATCGACTATGGCTATGTAACTATATTATCATGCAGATACAAGCTCAAATTGAAATATAGGGGTTTCTTTCGGCTAGTTAATAACATTTGTAAGAAAATATGTTTCTTTTAACTCTAAAAAATGCATCTACATAGAGACATGATCATATAACCCGAGTCAACTAAATGAAAAAGTCATAAGGCGTTATTCATCTAGGGACAATCCAAAATTTTCAATTTGCTATGATGACAAGTGTGCATCAAGCCAATTGTTTATTGAGGTTGATTCTAATTAATAGTTCATGGATATGCTTAACATGTATGAAGACGAGAAAGAAGTAACCATTTACCGATTTACGTCGTACCATTGAGTAACCTCGGCTCAAATAATTTCTGTTTATGTAACTATTTATGAGACAATGATGAACCATACGATTTGAAAACTGTTTAAAACAATTATCCACGATAGTCGATCGTTTCCAATTGTTTTTTTTTTGTTAGTTACACTATTACGTTTCTGAAAACTATGAATTGTTTGAAAACAATAGTTTTGCTAGTTAACTATTCTGATTTGATGACTATGATTTTTTGTTAGTTAATAATTTGTATGAAAAGTTTCATATGTACACATGAGTAAATTTATTCTTAGATTTAAGGTACATGTTTCATCAACTTGTTCTTAAATTTGAGTGGAAACTTGTCAAAAACATTTTTGTTTTTAAATTTGATGGAAATTTAAGCAAATTGTTGAATAAAAAATAATTTTGATAAATATAATATTTTGAATATTTACGAAAGTATATATATATATATATATATATATATATATATATATATATATATATATATATATATATAATATATATCTCTATAATTTTTCAACATAACATTATAATAAAAGTATAATATGACGAAAATAATGATTTAAATGTATGTTTTTTCTCGCTTCGGCACATCGCCTTTTAAAACCACTCTACCCTCTACTCTACTCTTTTCTCGTGTGTTTCCCACATATACTCTAACCTTCTCTTTCCTAAAAAACATCCTAAGTAATTCAAGTTCAAATTGATCTTATGATCTTTTTATATAGTGTTTATACAATTTATATGTATTATCAATATGAAGAAACCAAAAACAAATCGAAAAGCTAATACCATTCCCGTAAGATATTACATTGTAATAAAGAGAGTATCTACGTTGAATATACCAATCCTTAATTTCCCCAACTTCTTTTTTCATTTTAGATTTTTTCAAAAATTGGGTTCCATATAACACCCCCAACTCTTTTAATCTACACCCAAGGCCCCTATAGAATCGTATATTTACACGCCGGCACCCTCACTTCAATTTTCACCGTCTGAAACCCAAATTCCCCTGTTGGGTCGGGTACCGGATACCAAATGGGTCCATTGTGTTCGAGAAACCCTGGCTCTGTGTAAACTGGTTCAAGTTCGATTGAAAGTAGCCCGAACCCGGATGCTCAACCCGTTGGCTTCTGATTCCACTTTGAACTTCATCCTCCACTGATCTTCCAAATGTTGTGTCCATGGGGTATGTGGTCGCCGGCGCCATTGAAGAAATTACATTCATTGTGGTGTTGGCGGTGGTCGGAGCTTGGCTTCCGGTAACAGGTTCCGGCAACCCGAACGCAGCGATGCTGGCCCAATCGTAATTACCAGAATCAAATTTTTGAAGATTTACCTTCTGATCTCTTGTTGAAAGGTCTTCAAGGAGTTGATCCTTGGTAAGTTGAAGAACCTGTCTTCAATCTCCGGCAGTGATTCGAGAACGTCGTCGAACTGAGAGGACGAAGATGAAGAAGAACCGTGGCTCTGTTCGGTGGTCGGAGCGCCACCGGAAATGTGTTTCTGTGCACTTGAATTCTTCTTGTATATCCGACAAAGCACCCAATCATCCAACTGTTGAACCAAAATCAAAACCCAGATTAAGAATCTAGTAAATGAAACAGAAAGATTTTTAGTAACAAAAAACAGAATGATCAGAGATTGATCGGACTCACCCTTGAGCTACCGTTTTTTCTTTGTGGCTCCGACAGCCTATACTCATGCATGATCCAGTTAGTTTTGTTTCCTTTCGGAGCTTTACCCACGTAAAACACCAAAGCTTTCTTGATCCCAACTCTCCGTCCACCGGTGGTGATCACTTTATCAGTTCCGGTAGCCTTCCAGTAACCCGACCCGGCTACTCTATTGGGTCGAGACCCATTTGGATACTTTCGATCTCTTGGACTAAAAAAGTACCATTCTTTCTCCCCAAACATCGCCTTACCTGTAACCAAAAGTTGCACCATTTGTTACTAAACCAAAATCCATTAAAAACCCTAAAAAGTATATTCAATTACAAGCTAAATTCACTTACTTGGAAGCTCCCATGGATCAAACTTGTACAAATCAATATCTGCAATGATCTGAAGAGAGAAATCATGTCCGGCAACTTTCCGGCAAAGGTATTGCACTAGCAGCTCCTCGTCGGTAGGGAAAAACCGAAACCCTGGTGGTAAACTTAATTGAGTCATCGGATCAGTTACCGGTAAACCCATTGTTCTTGATCGGAGAGAGAGAGAGAGAGAGAGAGAGAGAGAGAGAAATCGAGAATATTAAAGAAAATTCTCCTTTTTTCCAAGAAATTGTAAATCCGATGGGTACTTATAAGGAAGATTTACAGAGAGATAAGTACGGTCGTCCTTTTCTTACAGTGGTGGGAGGTGGGGCATAGGATGGTTAGCAAGTCGACACGTGCATAGGGGGCATCAAGAGGTCGACCTTATCCGAAGGTTAAAGCTTCAAGTGCATGAACCAATATATAACCATATAAGACAAAATAGAGAGAGTGAGTCATGGAGGTCGACCAGATCATCATCGTACACGTGGACGTTCTTGGATCTAAGTAGACGAGGACTGACACCATAAAGTCACAAACCGACAAAGTTTATGTTCTGATTTCGTGTTTGAGTCGCGTGATGACAGAGAAACACATAAGCCAAAACGAATTCTTGAGAGAGAAAATTATATTAGATCGGAGTAAAGAAATCACATGGTTATATTCATCGCAATTTGATTGATATATATTTTCATGAGTCGAAGGAATTGTGAATTATTGAAAATATTTATATTATTGATATTAATTATCAATTATTAAATTTTATATTATTGATATGTAAAAGTAACTATTTAATTTGGACCATATACTAAAAATGTATATGTTAAAATCAGATCGAAATTTATTTGTGATTTATTCTTGAATAAAATTAAATTTATTTTTGATTTAATTTGTTGATAAAATTTAATATAATTTTAATGCAATGTTATTTTTAACTTTTGTTACGGTTAAATGAATTAAAAATTACTTATTAGACTATATATATTTTCTATAATATAATTTATAATTTTATTGTAAATTATTTTTAGACAAAATTACATAAATGATCATTGTGGTTTATCAAATGTCATAAACTTAGTCTTTGTAATTTTTTTAGGACATGGTTGTTGGGTGACAACAAA